AGAAGGCTGAGACAGGAGGGTCATGAGTTCTAGGCCAGCCTACGCCAAATAGTAAGACTCAACTCCAAAAACTTTCCCAAATTCTATAATGATACTTTGAAATATTTAAAATTTGACAACTTATACTTTTTATTTATTCAGGTTGGTCATTCCAACTTACAAAGACATAGTACATGAAGATGTTTATTGCTTAAAGTGACATCTACACTCATTTTAGTTTTGTTTTTTAATGCCATAGTGTCAGAAGTTTGGGAAGCTTGCTGACACTATTTTGCAATGTTACCTCACTGAACATGTTTCTCTCCAGACCTTTAAGGAGTCCTGTCTTCAGTTCTACCACTCAGAGCTGGAGCAGCTGTCCTTCGTCAAAGCAGCAGAGGAGTCCCGGAAACACATCAACACGTGGGTCTCCGAACAGACTGAAGGTCAGGATTTCAGGTTATTTCACACCCACATTCTTGTCCTTTCCATCCATCCCTCCCTCCTCTTCCTTCCTCTTTCTCTTAACTTCCCTTCTCCCCCTCTGACTAATCTCACTGTTATTTCAGAGAGTCAAAGGGATGCAGACCAGCTAGGCCACATGGTATAATTTAGACCTCAGTGAATTCGTGGAGATTTTACTCAGACACTTAGACTTTAAAAACAGAGTTGTTTGTGTATTTCTCTAGGAGAGAGGGGCTGATACAAATGTCCTGAGAACTCATGGGCCTGATTTCCAGTCTAACAGATTGCATTAGAAGACAGGGGTGGTCTGCAGTTGGCAGGCCAGGTGACTCCACCATCTCTGAGATGGAGATGCATGGGTAGAAGTTCCCCATAATCTTGTCCTGGGCTGGATCTTCCTACAGTCTGTGTTGCCTCAGCCCCCAGCACCTTTACCTCTGAAGAGGATTCCTGTTTTCTGCTTCCATGTTTCCTGCCTCACATCCCTCACCTACATTTGATGAAACTAGACATGATTTCCTCTGTCAGGGCTGCTCAGTTACATTGGTCTAAAAGAGTCTCCCATTTGGGGTTGAACCTTATTTGTTTTTATTTCAGAGATGACATGTTCCAGCATTGGTCTTGGAGATCATTGAGATCATTGTCTGATATTTGAACCCCACAGATGCCTCTGTACCACTAAGTACATTCCTATTGCTACTAACAGATAGAGTATAGAGTGAGTGTCTTTTTCTTAAAAACTCAGCAATCATTTGCTGATTCTTATTGGAGTCTTTACCTCTTGTGAACCTTTGATATCATAAGTTGGCAAGTATTCTCTTCTCCATTGAAAGGATACCCCTTAATACAGAAGAAGGGGATATGTCCTCTTAACTGCATTATCTCTTCCAGGGATGGACAGCATTCCAAAGTATATAATAACAAATGGCTTTCTGCCTTTGAGCCTTTGACGTGTGGTGGTGTGTTAAAACTTGGCATGACCATGGAGGGCTAGATTAGACTCTATGCTTAACATTAGTGTATTGGTCAGGGTTCTCTAGAAGAACACAATGAATCCATATTACAGAGGTGATTTAATAGATTGACATACACAATACAGGCTGAGTAGTCTGACAATGACCATCTGCATGTGGAGAGGCTGAGAATCTGGTAGCTGCCCAGTCTATGAGGCTGAAAACCTTACCAGTTTCAGTCTGGCATGGAAAGCCTAGAGGACTCCAGAGAGTTATTAGTCTTAGTCCTCATGAAGGCCAAAGCAATTAGCTTCCAGTGTCAGCTGAAAATAGTAGTTGCAGAAATGTGAACAGTGTTGATGCACTCACCAGCAGGAACTGAGGCAGGCAGACCAAACAGTGCTGCTTCTCTCTTGGTCCTTATATCAGGGCAGCACAGGAAACTGTTGCTCCCTTGGGAGAGTGTCCTCTTTATTAATTACTTTCTGGGAAATGTCCTCACAGACCTGCCCAGAGACATGTCTCTTGGTTGATTCCAGACCCAATCAACATGGCAACCAACATTAGCACGTGGGGGAAGCCCTGGATCCCTGTGACCCGACCCCTTCCACATTTCCTGCTTCTTTGTTCTCCATCCTGAAGTCATTTTTTTCTGCCTTTCCCAAACCTGCTTTCCTTGAGAGACTTAGAAGTCTTTCACCATCTTCATCTTGGCCATGTTCCTCCTGTGTCCATGACCTTGAGGCAAACATTGGTATGTTGTGTTCATTTGTTTTCAATATGTTAATCCATATTCAGCATATGTGAAAACGTGATGCTTGGATATGCCCTGATGTCATATCAATTTATTTCTCACATGTGTATAACATGAACCTGAATGAAGTCTCTGCTTCCTCAAAAGGGAAAATTCCAGAGTTGCTGTCGGGTGACTCGGTTAATTCAGAGACCAGGCTGGTTCTTGTCAATGCTTTATATTTCAAAGGAAAGTGGCATCAACCATTTCATGAAGATTGCACAATAGAAATGCCCTTTAAAATAAACCAGGTAAGGAACAGTGTCCAAAGGTTCGTGACAGTGTGATGAGATTGAGTAGAAGGGTGTAATTGTGAATGTGTAGCTCTGGGGCTCAGTGGTAGAGATCACATGTCCTGTGTGGGTGCTGGACTTGGTCCTCAGCCCAGAAAGAAAGAGAACAGGAAAGCACATGAAACCATTTGAAACATTTATTTCTGAATGAAAAGTTAATCTCTATAGAAAAATGATAGGAATAGAGTATTTAATACCTGTGTTACTTTACATTTTATTTGTGGCTCTTATATGTTCTGATAATTTCTCATAAAACCATTGCTTCAACCTAATTCTAGAAACTAAACTTTCCTTTAAGTTCAAGAAAACAGAAACTTATATGTTAAGATAGTATAATACATTTATGGAGCATGAGGCAGCGTAGAAAGGAATATACAAACATTTATTTAATAGACTATTTTTAAATTAAAATAATCACTTTAAATTATTGGTCAATCTATTATTATGAAGCAGTATGTATTGCTTTCTTATATTGAAATGGAGTGATTAAGATCTCAGTCTTAATTGCAGTATAATTTGAATTAAAGCAGATATTAGAATGCTTCTCCAAATCCCAATAAAATACAATTTAATGCAGTTTGGACCCTTACCATTCCTTTTTTATTAGTGATAATTTTAAAAAAGCTTTGTGAAAGAATGAGTTCTTTTATTGGGAAATTTAATATGTATTATTTATGGTCTGTAGCAAATTTTTATGTTTAATGTACCACTGTAACTAAAATCTTCCCAGATGGCCTACTTCCATACTTTAAAAAATATTGTTGGACTATTAGAACAGAACCACTGGGTTAAATCACAAGAAGATACATGAAGTTCTGTCCAGACAGCCCCTGACTTTTAAAGAGTTGACAAGAACTGTATGATTATGATGGGTCATCAGACGGTAATGCATCACAAATATACATGGAGATCAGTCCAGAAGGTCCCCAACTTGTAGCCATTTAACTGGGATTTTCCTTCTCACTAATGGGCTGTCAGGATGGAGCTCTGCCCTAGCCTGTTATTGTCTGTGCTCTGGAGCTCTCTGCTCTCTGATGGGTTAGAAGATTGTGACCCATCGTGAACCTCTGAGCATGTGTGCTCCTGTTTCCAGGCTGTTTTCTGAGAGGATGTACCTGTCTGTAGTCCCAGACACATGACTATGACAGTAATCCAGTCTATTTGAAGAAAATTTTTCTGTTAACTATGTGCTGTTTCCTTAGATATAATTGTTGACCATATTAAATGATCAAAATCCTGCATCTGATATGATGGTCATCTTTCCATTAGTGTAGCAAACTATCTGCGATAATCAACTTAAAAGAGGAAATGTTTATTTTGGCTCATGGTTCCAGAAGTTTCAGTCGGGTCAGTTTTTCCAATCACTCCGGGTTGTGGTGATGCAGTACAGCATGGTGGAAATGCATGGTGAGGGCTTGTTGACCTCACAGCAGTCAGGAAGCAAAAGAGAGAAACAGGAAAGGGTTGTAGTGCAAATATCCCCTTCAGGGGCACCTCTCCCCAATGCTCAGCTTTCTCTCATTAGGCCTAAATCCTAAAGGTTTGGCTAGCTCTCAGTGCCAGTCTGTGGAGAGGAGCTTTGGAACATGAGCCTTTGTAGAACATTTTAGACCCAAATATTAATATTTGAATGCCACATTCCTTTTTCTGAATAATGCATAGTCTTTATGTAGTTAGTCCTTGTCCTGGCTGGGGTGTCTGTCTGTCTGTCTGTTTGTTTGTTTGTTTGTTTGTTTTGTTTTGTTTTGGGTCTGTGTGTGTGTGTATGAACTTGACACAAGCTAGAGCCATTTGAGAAGAAGAACTCTGCATTGAGAAATTGCTTCCATAAGATTGGCCTAGGGCAAGTCTGTTGGTCATTTTCTTGATTAGTGGTGGGTGTGGACCCAGCCCTCTGTGGCTAGTGCCAATTCTGGGCAGGAGGTTATGAGGTACACAAGAAAGCAGGCTGAGAAAGCAATGGAGAACAAGCCAATAAGTAGCACTCCTCCAAGGCGTCTGCATGAATTCCTTCTCTGACTTCCCTCAGTGATGGAATGTGACCTGAGAGTTGTAAGATGAAACAAACCCATCCTTCCCATATTGCCTTTGGTCATGGTGTTTCATCACAACCATAGAACCCTATCTACAACAGCCCCATATCTGCTCACAACAATTATTTTTAAGGAAAGCAGAAGAGGCTGGCAGACATTGATTAAGTGGTCACTGAAACATAAATAGTGTTTGCATTGTATTAATTGGTATTAACTGCAGCTCATTTGAAAACCTTCTGAACTCTCTCAATGATATCTTTTATATTCTGGATTCTTCTGTTCAGAGGGAGGAAAGAACAGTACAGATGATGTGTCAGGAAGACACTTTTAACATCGCCTACGTGAATGAAGTTCAGGCGCAGGTGCTGGTGATACCCTATAAGGGCATGGAGCTGAGCTTGGTGGTCCTGCTCCCAGATGATGGTGTGGACCTCAGCCAGGTGAGGCGGGAAAGTCTGTAGCAGTTGCCACTCTAAATGTCTATTAGAAGAATCCAGGGTCCCCATTGTCCTTCTTCATTAGGACAGAACTCAATGTTTTTACCTTTCCAACTGCCATTTGAGCGGGTGGTACTCACAAACTGAGCCTGGAGCTATGTGCAGACCCTTTGTTTGGGGATCAAAGCTGTGTCCAGGACTCCCATTGTGGGTTGTGTGACCTTGAACATATGACATAACTTCATTTCTGGAATGGGACATGGTTTCTGAAAGGATGAAATGAGGACAATTAAGGCAGTGAACTTAGCACAGTACTTAGCACATAGTCCCCCTCTGTAAATATAACCTAAATCATGGTCTTTGCTAGTATTTTATTTTAATATCTGAGAACATAAAATAGGCAGAAAAAATATTGCACTTTAACCTCACAAAGTGGCAGAGGAGGGATGCCAGCTGGTGAGGACAGAGTCTGAGACATCATAATGGCACATCTTGGTCTTCCTTGTGACAGGATACCCCACAGTGTATCAGCCATCCTCTGAATGGTGGGTAATGGAGTGTGCATGACCTAAGGGGTCTTTGTAAGCAGAATTGCTCCCCTGGCTCTTCCCATCCAGCTCCCTCACTGTGGCATGGCTTCTCTAGGGTGTTAGTGTTTTGTCACTGGCAAAATGCCTGACATGGATAACCCAGGATAGGAAGGATTTATGTTGACTCACAGATTTGAGGTTTCATTTAAACTTACTTGACCCCGTCAATGGGTTCCATGGTGACAAGTACATGTGGCAGAGACTACAGACCTTTTAGTAAACAGGAAGCAGAGAAAGGAGAAGGGACACAGGACTAAGGATGATCTTCATAGGTACACCTCCTGTAACTACTTCCTTCATTCTGCTAGAATTCCTCATGCCCAAATTATAGATGTCTCACTAAACGTCACCACCAGCTTCAGAATAAAGGTTCTCCATGTGAGCTTTAAGGGAGAATTTCACATTCAAACCATTAACAGCCCACAAAACAAATAGAATCCTAGCCTGGATAGACCTCCCTTCTAGTGTGGCTCACACCAAGCATCTTTTCCAATTTTTATTTTATTTTATTAGCATCTATGGTTTATTGTCTTCAAAACTAAGTCTAGATCAAGAAAACAAAAGCAAACACAACCTAAACCATAATCACCTGGACATATGGACACCTGTTAGAATAAAAGATGTCTCAGAAATGATTTAGGAGAGGACAGCCAGGTCTTCCCAACCCTGGGCTGCTTGGCTTCCATGCCCATGAGGGAAGCCATATACAAGCTAGCAAGACAGTGGGACCCTCACACGGTCTCACCATGTTAATCTACAGTGCCCCTGTAGGATGATGGTGGGTATTGTGAGTGTGAAGAGCCTATGAGACTCTGCATAAGACCTCACCTGCGAATCTGAAAGTCTCTAATTCTACTTTGCCAGGTGGAAAACAATCTCACTTTTGAGAAGTTAACGTCCTGGACCAAACCAGACTTTATGAGGAGCACTGATGTTGAGGTTTTCCTTCCAAAATTTAAACTGCAAGAGGATTATGACATGGAGTCTGTGTTTCAGCGTTTGGGGATGGTAGATGTCTTCCAAGGGGGCAAGGCTGACTTGTCAGGAATGTCTCTGGAGAGAGACCTGTGTCTGTCCAAGTTTGTTCACAAGAGTGTTGTGGAGGTCAATGAAAAAGGCACCGAGGCTGCGGCAGCAACTTCGGCCATTGTTGACTACTGTTGTGCCTGTGAAGTCTCAATATTCTGTGCAGACCACCCCTTCCTTTTCTTCATCAGGCACAACCAAACCAACACCCTCCTGTTCTGTGGCAGGTTCTCTTCTCCGTAAAGGCACATTTACTATGTGGGAAACAGTTACTCTTACAGCTCTGTGAGGATGGGCATATGGGGGACACCATGTTCCAAGATGAGGGCACTTTCCCCCTGGCAGCCTGATCTTAGGATGCCCACATTCCCCTCCCCTATCCTGACATTCATCAGTGCCCTTTGCCAGGTCACAGGATCACAGAGTGGTTGGGTTTCCTGTTGTGTAAACAACAAAGGAGACAAACATTTCTCACAAGAGAGACTGCAAAGTTCTCTAGGGTGGCCCCAAATAAACGCCCCCTCACTGCACAGACAAGCCATGCCAGCTCTACACGCTGTCCTGTCCTGGCTCCTTGACTCTCGCCATCACTCGCCTTGACCTGCTTACATCACAGTAAATGCTTCTGTGGATGATGACAGCCACTGCAGTTTACTAGTGATTGGTCCTTAATGCACATTTTAACTTTATCTTCTTTGCTGCCCACCACTCACCTGGTATGTGCCATCACTGTGTTAGGCTTGGGGACAGTGGAGACAGTGTGGTCCTCTAACAGCTGGCCTTTACTATCTGCTTTCAACTTATCTAGCTTGGACTGCCATATGTTCCCTTGCAGAAGTCATGCTTCTGTAGACCATTTTGTTTCTCTGTCACTATCTATTATAGTTAAATTCTACAAAGTCCTTAAAGGTTATTTCAAAATGAATTTATTTTTCTCACCAACCATGTGTGCACTTTGAACATTAATTTGGCCACTTAGAGTGGTTGCTTTATCTGTTAACCTTCTCCATCTTGGATAATCTCCCAAATAGACTCCATGGTGACCAAGGGATGGGGTTATATCTCACTATGCTATACAGCCTATCCTGTGCCCCTTCCAAGCAGTTATAAGTGATTTCACCGTGTAAGACTGACATAATGGGGCTGGAGAGATGGCTCCGATGTTCTGACTCCTACTGGCTCCTGTATGCAGATGGTGTATGTATCCTCACTCAGACGCACACACATAAAAGTACATTTAAAAATAAAGACATTTTTTAAAGAAGAGTGCCATATGTTTATTTGATGGCTGGATAATATCTACTCTTCAGGCCCCAGAAAATTCCTAGAGCTTATACAAACTTTCAAAAAAGTGGCAGATTAAAAAATTAACACAGAAAAATCAGCTTCATTCTTATCTGCCAATAACAAGCATGCTGAGGGGAAAAAACAGTCAAACAATCCCATTCATAACTACCTACAGAAATGGCTTGGAATAAACCTATCCAAAGAAGTGAATGACCTCTCTAATGAAAACTTTAGAACACTCAAGAGAGAAACTGAAGAAGACATTAGAAGATCGATTAAACTCTCCTTCCAGGCTCCTGGCTTGGAAGAGTCAACAGTGTTGCCATCTTACTGAATGAATCATACAGATTCACTGCAGTCTCCATCCACATGCCAATACTGTTCATCATGGAGATAGAAAAAAAATTTTAAATAATTTGGAAGCACAAAAGACCTCAGCCAATATAATCCTGAGCAATACCAGTAATGCTGGAAATATTGCTGTACCTAAGTTCAAGTTATACCACAAAGGGCAGGGTGGTATTGCCCTCAGACAGGTAGACCCGCAAATAAAGTACCCAGACATAAGCCCATGTAGCTACAGCCTACATGACAAAGATACCCAAAGCATACATTAGAGATGGGTAGTGCTGTGGACACCTGACGTCTTTATGTAGAAAGGAGACACTGGATCCTTTTCTTTGACCTCACACAAAAATCAACTCTAAATGGAGCAAAGACCTTAGTGTAAGACCCAAGTCTCTGGAACTGCTGGAGAAGAAAGGGAAGATTGCCTTCAGAAGGGGAGGCAGAGCATCAATACCCGGAATATATAAAGAACGCAAAAGATAAACAGGGAAACAATTTTTTAAAAATGGACTAAGGAGCTGAACATGAGTTTTCAAGAAAATGAGGCAACAGCCAGTAAATACTTCTGAAGATTGTAAACATACTTAGTGACGAGGGAAATATAGCTAAAACTACTTTGAGATTCCAATTCTTATCAGAATAGCTGCCATCAAGAAAACAAACGCCAACAAATGCTGGTGAGGATGTGGGGACAGAGAAGTCCATATGTACTCACTGCTGTGTGTGTGTAGATTAGTGCAGCTACTATGGAAATCAGCGCAGAGTTTTCTCAAAGAGCTACAGAGAGCTATCATGCAACCCGCCATACGACCCCCAGGGATATACCCACAGGACTCTCTGTGTACTTACATTCTCATCCACGTTCACTACAACTATATTCACAGTATCAAGGAAATGGAATTGACCTAGATGTCCATCAATAGATAAGCTGCCAGAACTGTGACACTCTCGGTTCCTTGTGTGCCACTCTCTGTGGCAGTGTTGTGTGCTCTAGGTCACACTACTACAGACATAGACGTTAAGAGTCACAATCATTCCCCTAGGGGTTTCAGTGCAAACAAACATCTAAACACCAGAGCCCGACTTCTCTTTGTTGGTATCATGTGAGTATTCTGAGTCAAGTTCATATTTTAGTGAGTTGACTTTTCTGTCTTCTCCATCCTGTTTTCAGTGACATTTGCTTCCTTTTCAAAGAGCACTTCAATGCAGAAGACTTGTCAAGGGCCTCAGGGTTCATGCCCCAACACAGGAGACTTGCTTGCACTGTGCCTGGGTAGCTCCATGGGAAACACAGCTTTCTCAGCCCTTGCTCATGAAGACTAGGAGTGGTTTGCTTTAAAACAGAAACAGTAAACCACTCAGCACATTAAAATTTTAGGGAGCCTATTTGAACATTCACGAACTGGAGCTAGGCCTCACTGGGAGAGCCTGATGGGAAATATGGGAAGCATCTGCAGAATCCAGATAAGAAAAATAGTTTCCATGGGTAAGAGTGGAAAGTTCTAGTTAGAGGTTTGTTAATAGTTTATAAAAGTTCATGTTGTTGCTTTCAGAGGGGTCTAAGTTCTTGGGGTGGGCCCTAATTACCTTCACCCAAGTAGCCTAGGTCTTGGAACCCATATAGGGGAGATTCCCGGTCTAAATGTTAGCCAGCCAGTTAGTTTTCTCCTTTTCTGTTTCCCTATCTCTGGCTTATCAGAAAAATAACTTCGAAATGACTAATCTGCCTGTAGTTCTATGTTTCTGCATTCTTTAGCTTGTTCTCTGTCCATAAAGCCAGCCACCTCTGCTCAGCTTTCCAGAACTCAAATGACCCCTCTGCCAATGATGTCAGCACTCTTGGAAGTGAGGAATGCTGGGCAACATGAAGATAAGTAGAACATCGTGTCACTCTTCAAAGTGTGTGCTACTTATTTCAAAAGAAAAACGTGTCTTCTTAATACAAGCTAGAGCACAGCAAGGCAGTATGTACAGCATTTCTACAACTGAACATGCAGATTTTTGAGAACAGTAGTTTTAACCCTAGATGTACTTTACCCAAGGACTCAGGTACTAGACAATCCAATCAACTGTCACCAAGTCAACCTGGACAGTTGATTTGAGTTGTCTGCTGCTAGTGATGACGAAGAATGAACACACACATACACACACACACACACACACACACACACACACACACACACACACACACCGGCTAACACACTTGTACAAGTAACCAAAAGGAAAAACAAAGAGAAACTCTCTGGAGTAGGAAGGCTTCCAAACTGGGGAAATGTTCCTTGTTTAGGGATTTTTTAAAGGACTTATGGCAGGAACCAGTCAAAGACAGGAAAAATTCCTATTGAGATTAGCTAGTTCTCTGATCATCTCATGGGTGGAGCTGATGGGGCCAACAGACTGCATATTCTCCTGGCCCAGGCAGGGAGATGTTCGAGTGCTGTTTATACACTGCTCATCCCATGGTGGTCAGACATTGAAGCCCCACTCTGCCTGTCTCTAGATTGCTGTGTTAGCTGCTGATCTTGGCTCTCTGTTGGCTTCTCTCCTTGGTCAACATTACTAATCACTGCCTTGCAGGTCCTGCTGGTCTTTGACCTTGCCTGGAGTCCTGCTGGTTGTTAATTGAACTATGCTCTCTTTGTTCTCACATTTATGCACCCACTTATGTCCTTACTGTGGGCCTTTCATTTATTCCCTTGGTGACACTAATTCCTGCCTCAATGGATAGAAGAATGCATGCCTGCCTGTCACCACTAACTCCAATGCACAGAGACAGAGAGCAGGGAATACTTATTCTGCATTATAGATTGAAGTTTTGTCTGATTCTAGCTTAAAAATAAAGCAAGTCATGATTTTAGAAGTAAATTTGCTGACGGTTTGCTTTTGATACTGACTTTGTTTGGTGAGGTTTCCAGTTCCCACTTGCTGTTGACGTTGGCCTTTGGTTTGTTCACATAGAGATGTAAAGTGTCACATCCACTGGACTCTGCTGGCCACTCAATTAGATTATTTTCAACAGTTTCAAACTTCTTTATGACTTTCAATTCACAGTGTTTGACTTTCTGATCTAACTTAGCATACTATCTTCTGGTCCCATCTATGGTATTAAAAATGAAGGATTTCTTTCTCTTTAAGGCAGAACAGGGTTACATTGTTCCTACGCACATACATCATGCTCTCTATTTTCCTATTTATCTGTTGGTGGACTATCTTGGCTATCTTGGACTATCTTGGCTATCTTGGACTATTAAGATCCATATCTTGGCTGCTAAGATTAATGTTATAAAAAATACATGGTGTTACCATCTTTTGGACTACAGATTTTATTTAGACACACAGATTTCATTTCCCTTAGTTATATACCCAAGAGTGGATTGCTGAACCATGTGTGTGGTGGTTTAAAAGAAAATGGCCCCCAAAGGGAGTGGCACTCTTAGGAGGTGTGGCCTTGTTGGAGGAAGTGTGTCACTGTGGGGGCGGGCTTTGAGGTCTCTTTTCTTCAAGCTTCTCTCAGTGTGACTGTCAGTCAACTTCTTGTTGCCTGCAAGATGTAGGAGTCTCAGCTTCAGCACCATGTCAGTCTGCATGCCACCATGCTCCTCACCATGATGATAATGGACCGAACCTCTGAAACTATAAGCAAGCCATCCCAATTAAATGTTTTCTTTATAAGAGTTGCTGTGGTCATGGTGTCTCTTTGTAGCAATAAAAACCCTAACTAAGACAATACGGTAACACTACTTTCAATTTTTGGAGCATATTCCATATTGTCTTCTGTAATATTTGTACAGATTTATGTTTCTTCAAACAGCATATAAGGTTTTCTTTTCTTCTCATCCTTGTGAAAACATGTTATCTTTATTGTTTGGGTTTTATTTTTTATTTACACATACATTTTAAAATTTCATTGTATATATTCATTGTTCATAGTACTGTGCTAGATAAGGACACTTTCACCCAGTGTGCATTGTATACTCTGCACATCCTCCCTTCTCCTTGCTGTTTTAGAACAACTTGAAGCCACAGGTAAGGCAGGATTCATACCTTCTGTATTTGTATACGAGAAACTGAGTTGGGAAAGGGAGTAACTTGTCTTAGATCAAACTAGACACTTGTCTAAAACCATATGGATTGTAAGCAAAAGTTGGGACATAAGTTTAGGCATTTGACAGTGAAGATACAGGCAGGAGACAGAAGAAGAAAGTTAAACTCCAAACTCTTGGAAAGGCTGATGGTTGAACATCCAAAAAGATACACTAAGAAAAGCACCAACATTAAGTCCTGCTCCAGAGAGCAGCTGGCTGCACCCAGAGCCAGCAGGGAGACTCAAGGAGGGTCGGCAGGTGCCACACAGGCTGTGCTGGCACTGGATTTCCTGTGTGTGATCAGGGTCAGCACAAAGCCTCATTGAAAACTGGAACAGTTTCACTTCCCAGTTCCCGGACTCAGCCTGTTTCCGGGAATGTCCATTGAAGTATTTAATTAATAAACAATTCACATGCTGACTCAGAGGATAAAAACGGTGGGAAGAGGCTGGTGGGCAACTGGTAAGCAGAGGTGAAGGTGTAGGAAAGTGAAACCCATAGAAAACGAGATGCTCCACCTACTCAGCTGGATCTCAACAGCTTA